GCCGGTGGCTGAAACGATTCCTAGCTACTCAGGAGGCTGAGATCCGAGGATCATGGTTCAAAGCCAGCCCAGGCAAGGAAAGTCCGTGAGACTCTTGTCTCCAGTTTCCAAAAAAACCACTAGAAAACCAGAAGTGGCACTGTGGCTCAAGCGGTAGAGCGCTCGCCTTGAGTCAAAGAGCTGAAGGATAGTACCCAAGTCCAGAGTTCAAGCCCCACGACCGACCAAAAAAGAAAAAAGAAAAAAGAAATGAACATTTTCAGGATCCCCTAAGGGCACAAACATACTTGTATATCAGTTGAGTAACTGAAGAACAAAACAGCATTAAAGTATTTGAAGTCAGAATCTTAGCTTTATGTATGAGCGCATGCCAGTAATTGGTCTGGAACTCAAGGTTCTCGTTTTTGCTTAGCTTTTTCACTCAAGGCTCGAGCTCCACTACATAAGCCATACCTCTACTTTCTGCTTTTTTAAATTGGAAATAAAAGTCTCTCAGATTTATCTGCATAGAATGTTTTAAACCTTGATCTTCTTTTAGATCTTAGCCTACTGAATTGCTAAGGACTACAGATGTGACCCATTCACATGCAGACTAATTGCCTTTTATAATTTATTCACCTATGCCTTTGGATACATTTACTTGGATACATTAATAGGAAAAAGTAACTTCTCTATAAACCAGCTTCAGTCTCCTTATAACTCAAATGGTTAAATACATATGTGTCTACTTAGGTAGAGACATATGTAAATGTTTAGAATAACACTAAGAAAACTTTCTGTGACCGTGAAAATATACTATGTTTGTGAATGTCCAGTATTATAGCTGCTGAGCACTTAAAATGTGACTGGGTATAGTGATATACATCTGTAATATCAGCACTCAAAAGGCTAAGTCAGAAAGGTTCCAAGTTTGAGACCAGACTGGGCTACAATAGACAAACAGTTTCAAAACCCTAAAATAAGAATCTAAACTGTAGATGGGGGCTGGTACTGGGAGAATAGTAGCTTAGTGTAAGACTATATGCTTATCATGTCATGTGTGACTTTTGGTTCACATGTCAACATGGAAAAGAAAAGAAATGCAGGTTTCTCATTCAAGAAAGTCTAGGAGACCTTTCTGGACTTTAAAATTTTTAATTTAATTAATTCAAATTAAATTTGACCTTAAATAGCCCTATATGCTAGTGGCTACCATATGGACTGTAGATAAATCCTAACCACATAAAAAATGTTTGGTGTTAATTTATTTTCCTATTAATGGTACTAATTTAAAAAAGTTTTCAATTTACTAGGAGCTCAGCTCAACTAAAATAGAACAGAGCACCAGTGGCTCCCACCTGTAATCCTAGCTACTCAAGAGGCTGAGATCTGAGGAGCACGATTCAAAGCCAGCCCAAACAGGAAAGTCTGTGAGAATCATCTCTAATTAACTACCAGAAAACCAGAAATGGAGCTGTGGTTTAAAGTGGCAGAGCACTAGCCTTGAGTATAAAAGCTCAGGGACAGCATCCATATTCCGAGTTCAAGCCTCATGACCAACAATAAATACATACATAAACACAATAAAACAGGACAACAGAGAGTCTAATATGAAGCTAATCTGTAACCATTAAATTACTTCTTTAATCAAACTATAGCAATAGCATCATAAAAACAAACACCATTTTTTTTTATTTTGTCTGTCATGAGTCCTGAACTGTGTGGATCTGGGCACTGTCCCTCAGCTCTTCAGCTCTTGAGCCACAGTGCCACTTCTGGCTTTTTCTGCTTATGTGGTGCTGAGGAATTGAACCCAGGGCCTCGTGCATGCAAGGCAAGCACTCTACTACTGAGCCATCTTCCCAGTCCCGCAAACACCATTTATTAATCATTAGAATTTGTCCAACGACATATAGCTGGCAAATATTAGCAAATATCCGATCCTCACAATGCTCTCAACCACAATTGCCTCCATCTTAATAAATCAGTTTCTGTAAGATTCTTCACATACTCAGTGGTAAGTAAATGTTCACTCAACCCTAAAACATACATACAGCAGTTGGAAATCAGACAAAAGTTATGCATGGTAACCAGCTAACCCAAAGTAAGTCACATCTACCAACTGATAGGACCATGTAAATACACCAAAATTAATGCCTGTAATTGTTATAGGAAGACAAAAGTATCATAACCCTTTTTCCCAGAATAAAATAATGCAAGAATAAATTCATATTTTAGAACTAAATATATTTTGATAAGAGAGTAGAAGAACAAAGACTGGATCTTTACTAGAAGCAAGGAGAGGAAATCAGTGTTCACTAGAGCCCTATGTCCCTGTCTAGAGGGATATTTACTTGTTAAAACATCAAACATTTCTGCTAGAAGATTAACGGGATTCACTGCATTTGCATCAAGTGCAACTCTTATCTCAATTCTAAAAGGAGCTTAATTAATTCTCTTCATGTCTGCAGCATTTAGTGAAATGTCTTATTGTGCCCAAAGCTGAAATTCAGTTTGGTCTGGTAAGGCAGAAGAATATTTTATACAAGGAGCCATGACATACTCCTTACTATCATGGAAACTTTTGGGTGGCAGGAAAACCAATTATCTGACCTATTTTCCTCTCAAGGAGTAGTAGAGACCAAAGATTTTTCATTCAGATCAAAACGTATAAATTTGTCTCAATCTGTCACATCTATAGCTTCTATAGTCCTAAAAGATAATTTACTGAGAAGTCTAGAATTAGGCACTGGAAAACAAACTGCTTTAAAGACTTGTAGTAAAGCCTGGCACTGGTGGCTCATGCCTATAATTCTTATTGTTCAAGGGCTTAAATCTGAGGATTGCGATTCGAAGCCAGCCCCGAGACTCTTATCTCCAATTCATCATCAAGAAACCTGGAAGTAGAGCTGTGGTTCAAGTGGTAAGAGTACTAGCCTTGAGCAAAATAGCTCAGGGACAGTGCCCAGGCCCCAAGTTCAAGCCCAGGACCAGAATAGCCACACACAATTTTTTTGTAGTAATGAGCTGGGAACATGGCTCAAGTGGTAGGCTGAGTTCAAACTCCAGTACCACCACCATCAAAAAAGAAAATCTAGGGGCTGGGAAGATAGCTCAGTGGTAGAGTGCTTGCCTTGCATGCATGAAGGTTCGATTCCTCGGAACCACATAAGCACAAAAAGCCAGAAGTGGCCCTGTGGCTCCAGTGGTAGAACACTAGCCTTGAGCTGAAGAGCTGAGGGACAGTGCCCAGGCCCAGAGTTCAGGCCCCACAACTGACAAAAAAAAATCTTTTGAGATGCTTATCTCCAATTAACCAGCAAGAAGTGGACTCAAGTGGTAAAGCACCAGCTATGAGTGAAAAAGATAAGTTTAAGAAAGTGAGGCACTGAATTCAAACCTTATACTGGCATGTCGTACATGCATGTGTGCACACACACAACCCTCACAAATTACATATAACTCAGATTTGCTTTGTTTTTCTTTGGGAGGAGGTAGTACTTGGGGTTTGAACTCAGGACTTGGTGCTTGCTAGGCAAGTAATCCTACATACTGAGTCATGCTGTCTACCCTATCACTCAGTTTAAGCCAGAGATGAAATAAAAAAAAGAGCACTACCGAAGAACCAAGGAGCTGATAGAATGCAAAACAGTCAAATAATTATGGTTTCATTATTGCAGCTTTGTCTGACCTGATGTATGCCCTCAACTAGTCTCTTTACCACCTTCTGCCTTTCATTATATGAGCGATAGAGAATTAACTTCTATCTGTCTCAGTGGAATATTGAGTAGATTAAATCATTACACAAAATGCTTTGGGCAAAAGTCATATGAATGTTAAATATTATGATTTACAAGCATTCATTTTCCTAGCACTCCTGTGGGGTTGGGAAGTTACCTAGATTTCATAGATGAGTAAACATGCACAGAGGGTAAGGTCATATGGTAAGGCTCTATTTACTCAGTCCCTATGGGAAAGGAATAATTCATACCCTTAGCAATCATTTGAACTTTCTTGGCATATCCTATACAATCTTTAGTAATTCCAATCTTTTTTTAACATTCTGTTAATGTAACTGAATTCTATGATAAAATAAGCTTAGAATAAGTGAAAGTAATCCTTGTGTCTGGGCAAAAATAGTCATAAAAAACAAATAATCTTAGGATAAAAATTGTATTATTTGCCTCTACTACCATGTAGGGATAATCAACCATAGGAATTATGAAAAAGCAGTTCACTATGAGAAACTTTCAAAACATTTTTGGCTGTTTCCTACAAAATTAAAAATACTCTAATATATGGACTAGCAATCATACTCCGCTGTTATTTTACCCAGAGATGCGGAAGAAATATTTTCAAACAAAAACTTAAATATGGATGTTTACACACTTCTAGTTGGAAGCAACCAAGATGACCTTCAGTAGGTGAATAAAGAAACTAACCACAGTGCCTCTAGAGGTATTATTCAGCAATAAAAATAAATGAATTGCTAAGCCATAAATAACACGGAGGCAGTGGATGTGTGTCTTGGCTGACTATGTATTTAGTTATATATAATTATATATTGTTTATAAAGTCATTCCTGGTAGTTTCTTCTTAACTTTTCTGTGAGCCTAAAGTTGTTCTTAAAAGACTTAATAATTTTTAAAGTCACAAACTTTCATCTTAAAATATGTCTCAACCAATAAAAGAAAATTTTTTTTGAGACTGGGTCTCACTGAATGGCTCAGGATGACCTGGAACCTACTATGTAGGCCCAGATATCCCTGAATTCTCAATTCTCCTGCTTCAGCTTCCTAAGTGTTGGTATTATAGGCATGTAGCATCCAGTCCAGCTCCTAACCAAATTCTTTGGGAAAATAGATTTGCCTTCTGGGCTTTAATTAACTACAGTGCCAAGCAGAAAACAAATCTAAAGAGACTAAAAATGGCATAAATAGCAATGAGAACGGTTCAGGAAAGCCCCACAGGACAAAAATACTGCTCATGACTAATAGAACTATAAAAGAAGCACAAAAAACCTTTCTGCTCATATCTAAGACTGATAGATATATTGCTTACCCGACTCCGGAGATAGTCAGCCAGATTTCGACGTGTGAAATTAGCTGCCGCTGTAGGAGATAATTCATATCCTAGCATAAGAGATACAAGAATGAAACTTAAAATGAAGAAGGAATAAAGTATCCCAAATCTTTCCCCCCCCCCCAGGATCTCTCTGTACAATATAGGATATCCTTGAACTTGAAATTATCCTGCCTTGGTTGTCTGAATACTGTATTAAAAGTATGCATCAATAGCCAGTATCACTATGCTTTTGTGTGGGCGATAGGGGCAGTACTGGAGTTTGAACTCAGGACCTCATATTTGCTAGGCAGACACTCTGAATTACACTTTCAAACCTTTTTTTTTTGGTTGGTCGTGGGGCCTGAACTCTGAGCCTGGGCGCTGTCCCTCAGTTCTTCAGCTTACGGCTAGTGTTCTACCACTTGAGCCACAGCGCCACTTCTGGCTTTTTTCTGCTTATGTGGAGGAATTGAACCCAGGGCCTCATGCATGTGAGGCAAGCACACAACTGAGCTAACTTCCCAGACCCCAAACTTTTTTTTTTTCTTGCTGGCCATTTTTGAGATAAAGCCTTGTTTTCTGCCCTGGTGTGTACCTGGGTTGCAATCTACCTAGTTTAGGTTTCCTGTTATAGCTAGGGTAACAGGCATGTGCTACCATGCTCAACTCTTAGTTCAGAAAGTGTTTTACTAATTTTTCTTCCATGCATGGCTTTGAAAAGTGATCCTCCTAGTCTGATTCCCAAGTAGATTTAAGTAGATTTATAGATGTGAGCCATCAGCACCTGGCTCCTTATGGCTCTTAAAGTCCATTATCTTTTATCTACAATTTGTAATATATGTCCAGTTTGAAGGGGTACAATCCTACTTCTAGTCCCTATCTTCATGCTACAGCTATGAAATAGTTGATTAGTCCTGACCACAGATAGAATCAGGATGACTGTTCTATGGTTGCATCAAATTCAGAGACTTAGTTAGGCTATTCATTCACTAACACAATGAGGTTTCCTTTCAAAGAGATACAAACACACAGGTGTTGAAAAAAAGAAAGAAATATTAAGATGCCAATTGCTGTAAGTTTATTTTAAAAGGATGTTAGAAGAGAGACTGGAAGTTAGGATAGTCTCAGAGTTATACTTTATGTAACATGTAACTTAAGTATAATATGATTTTCAAAAGTCCAAGACACAGAGAAAGTTTTCCATCACTGTACATTTTTTTTTTGGTCATGGGGCTTGAACTCTGGGCCTGGGCGCTGTCCCTCAGCTCATCAGCTCAAGGCTAGTGCTCTACCACTTCAGCCACAGCACCACTTCCACATCTACAAGTCAGTAGATTTACATGGAAAATGACACAAAGCCTTGTCATTAAGTTATTCCCTGCAACATTTCAAGCCCTATTGTCAGAGTGAAACTTAAGTTTAACGGGTCAATGCTGGATGTTTTCATGCTTATTAGTGCATATTAAATCATAATGAGAGCAACCCTAAACACCATGAATATTGCTCAGTCCTCCATCTAATCTCCCAAATGTTACTAAGGATTTGATAATTATCTTAAAGGCAGAAAGTCTGAAGCTTGATTATCTGTATAAACACTTTTCTCCTTCATGCCCTTATTTATGCTCACATTATTGTCTGACTGTGATAGGAGGAATTGAATCCAGGACCTGGTACACGCAAATACTTTACTGCTCGGGGCTGGGAAGGTGACTCAGTAGTAGAGCGTTTACCTTGCATGCATGAGGCCCTGGGTTCGATTCCTCAGCACCACATAAGCAAAAAGAAAAAAGCCGGAAGTGGCGCTGTGGCTCAAGTGGTAGAGCACTTGCCTTGTGCTGAAGAGCTGAGAGACAGCACCCAGGCCCAGAGTTCAGGCCCCACAACTGGATCACCCCCCCAAAAAAAATACTTTACTGCTGAGCCATATCCCTACCCATAGCTCAGTTCCTTAATATGCATAAGAATTACTATAGAGGACCTTACAGTTAACTTAAAGGCCATTAAGGGCAATTTTAAACTAACACAATTTTGCTTTTAGGCACTGACTTTAAACCTAATCCCCCCTTTTTTGGGGGGTCTGGTCGTGGGGCCTGAATTCTGGGCCTGGGCGCTGTCCCTCAGCTCTTTTAGCTCAAGGCTAGCGCTCTACCACTTGAGCCACAGAACCACTTCCGGCTTTTTTCTTTTTGCTTATGTGGTGCTGGGGAATGGATCCCAGGGCCTCATGCATGCAAGGCAAGCGCTCTACCACTGAGCCACCTCCCCAGCCCCGTAAAACCCCTTTAATAATCAAATTTTGTTAGTCTTGTTTACTCATCTTTTTCAGGACAGCTAGTAAATCATTACTGTAACTACTATACTTCAGAAACATTATCAGTCCCCTTCACCCTAAACTTGCTAAAATCTTTTTTTGTTGTTGTTGTTGGTCATGTGGCCTGAACTCGGCCTGGACACTGTCCCTCAGCTCTTCAGCTGAAAGCTAGTGCTCTACCACTTGGGCCTCAGCCCCACTTCCAGCTTTTTCTGTTATGTAGTGCTGAGGAATTGAACCCAGAACCTCATGCTTGCAAGGGAAGCCCTCTACCACTGAGCCACCTTCCCAGCCCAACTTGCTAAAAATCTAAGTACCCTGTGCCTCAGGGTATGCTGCCTCAGTGAATGGTAGTAAATGACTGTTATTTATCTTTGCATCTCTGCAGCACAGTATTTAACATAGATGAAAACTACAAAAATATTTATGCAAGGGCTGGGAAGGTGACTCAGTGGTAGAGTGCTTGCCCTGCATGGATGAGGCCCTGGGTTCCATTCCTCAGCACCACATAAGCAAAAAAAGCCGGAAGTGGCACTGTGGCTCAAGTGGTAGAGTGCTAGCCTTGAGCCAAAGGCTCAGAGTACCCAGGCCCAGAGTTCAGGCCCCATGACCGACAAAAAAAAAAAAAAGTATGCAACTCAATGTATACTAAATGTACTACAAAAAAACATGGAAACAAAACTTACCTAATCATTTTACATATGTAATTTTATTCAAATTAATTTAAGCCAAAGCTACACTCTTTAAGTTTTGGGTTTTCTTTTTTGCTGGTCCTGGAGCTTGAACTCAGGGCCTGGGTGATGTCCCTGAACTCTTTTGCTCAAGGCTTGTGCTCTACTATTTAAGTTAAGGCTCCACTCTTGGCATTTGGATGGTTAATTGGAGGTAAGAATCTCATCAATGGGGTTGGGAAGATGGCTCAGTGGTAGAGGCCCTGGGTTCAATTCCTCAGCACCACATAAGCAAAAAAAGCCAGAAGTGGTGCTGTGGCTTAAGTGGTAGGGCACTAGCCTTGAGCTGAAGAGCTGAGGGATAATGCCCAGGCCCAGAGTTCAGGCACCATGACCGACAAAAAAAAAAAAAAACTCACAGATTTTCCTGCCTGGCTTCAAATTGTGATCCTCAGATCTCAACCTCCTGAGTAGCTAGGCATGAGCCACCAGGGCCAAATTTAAGTCTAACCTGAATATAATATATATGAAAAAACATGTACATTTTGACAGTACAGAGGGAAGATCATGTGAAAGATCTATAAGCCAAGAAGAAAGACCTCAGAAATGTCAACTTTGACACCTTGATCTCAGTCAAGATTTTTTGAGCCTACAGAACTATGACGAAAGTTCAGCTTAAACCAGTCTGTGGCACTCTGTTATGGCAGCCTCAGCAAACTGATGCACCAACAACGCTTACCCACCATTTCTCATTTTATAAAGCTGCACATTTTTCTGAATGTATTCTGCAAACTGCACAGTGTCTCCAGCCTGTCCAACACATAGGAGTAAGATTTTTTCACTCATCTTAAACATCTTGTCATGATCTGCTCAAAGAAAAAAAAAAAATGTTAGAAACTGCTTTCCCAGAAATTGACAGCTGCTATATATGCAACCATAAATAGGTTTTAAGTAACTACTATAATAATTTATTAACTACTGTCTTTAGAAGATATTAGTAGGCAACGTTATTAATATCTTTCACTCTACAAGTTAAATCATCAACACATTTTATTACTTTCTCTTTGGTGCCACTTCTAGGGCTTGAAATCAGGGCCTAGACACTGTCCTTGAGCTTTTGTGCTCAAGGCTTATGCTCTATCACTTGAGTCACAGCTCTACTTCTGGATTTTTGGTAGTTAACCAGAAGTGAGTCCCCAGCTGGCTTTAAACTGTGATCCTCAGATCTGAGCCTCCTGAGTAGCTAGGATTACAGATGTGAGCCACCTGTACCCACTGGTACTCACATATTAATTTCAATAGAAAACTATATACGAAAGCTGACAATTTAAAATACTATTTGAGGGGCTGGGAAGGTGGCTTAGTGGTAGAGCACTTGCCTTGCATGCATGAGGCCCTGGGTTCGATTCCTCAGTACCACATAAGCAAAAAGAAAAAAGCTGGAAGTGGCACTGTGGCTCAAGTGGTAGAGCGCTAGCCTTGAGCTGAAGAGCTGAGGCACAGCGCCCAGGCCCAGAGTTCAGGCCCCATGACAGGACCCAAAAAAATAAAATAAAATACTATTTGAGGCCAATGGTACAGCATGTGCTTAGCAGTGTGAGGCTTTGGGTTTGATCACTAGTACCTAAACAAATTGAACATATTTTTGCCATCTTACAACATTTGGAATTTAAGAAATAGAACAAAGAAGGAAACTAAAGGAATCTTTAAGTTTAGTTTAAGGCTCTTGATTATAAAGCTCTAAAATGTTTCTATAAACACAAAACCACACATAAAAACAACTGGTGCTACAGTAAAATTAAGGAACCATTTCAAGAAGGAGAAAAATTAGCTGGAAATATAAATCACTTTATAAAATAAATCAACTTGCTTCCAAAGCTAAAGAAAAAAATTGGTTGCCAAAGCAAAAGTTCTAATGCATATTCTAACAGTAAGCTATCTAAAATACCTCAAAAAAATCAAAAATATTCTAACCTTATCAAGCAGAACCAGACTCACTCAGATTAGATAAATACTCAGATTATAATTATTGCCTAAGGGAAAAAACTCCATATTCAGACTGCAGCTTCAGAGAAAAAAAAACTCAAATCTTTCTATCTTACCCCTACTTTCGCTTTTCATTTTTCAAATAGTGCTGAATAATCTTCCCTGGGAGACATGTTTCCTGTATGAACGCTTTTGAAATGTTAAAATCCCTTAATAGGATTTAAAGAACAAATGCCACTATCAACTTCTTTATAACTGTTGGAGACTTGTCAATACTAGTAATATAGATTCTTAGACTTTGGGGGAAAAAAAAAACATATAACATGTCTGTAGATAATTCTGAATTGCCTTAATACTCCCACATAAACACATTTTTATTTGTTACACAGGCTGTAGGAAATCTAAAGACTGTTAAGTTTGTAAAGCTGTTTATAAAACTTTTCACTAACAGATATAAAGAAAAAAAAAACAGAAGAGTATAATCTTAAGTTCTTGCCAATAGAAAAGGCTATTTTGGGTTTTTTTGTAGGTTATAGGGCTTGATGGGCCTGGGCACTGTCCTGGAGCTTTTTCATTCAAAGCTAGAGCACCTTACTACTTTCAACCACAATGCCAATTCCAAGTCTTCTGGTGGTTAACTGGAGGTAAGAGTCTCCAGACATTCCTGCCCAGGCTGGCTCTGAACAGCTATCCTCAGAGCACAGCCTCCTGAGTAGCTAGAATTACAGGTGTGAATCAACAGTGACATAAAGGCAATTTTTCTTTTCTCTTTTTTTTGATCAGTGTTTCCTAGCTTTTTGTATTTACTATGTAAGAAAAAATTATTAATACATTCATGTCACTTTTTTGTTTTTTGTTTTTTTTGTTGGTCATGGGGCTTAAACTCTGGGCCTAGGCATTGTCCCTCAGGTCTTTAGCTCAAGGAAAGTGCTCCACCACTTGAGCCACAGTGCCACTTTCGGTTTTCTGGTAGCTGATTGGAGATAAAAGTCTCACGAATTTCCTGCGCAGGCTGGCTTTGAACTGTGATCCTCAGATCTCAGCTTCCTGAGTAGTTAGGATTAGGATTACAGGTGTGAGCTACTGGTGCCTGACTCCTATCACTTCTTTTTGTTTTTTGTTGGTTGTGGGACCCGAACTCTGGTCCTGGGCACTGTCTCAGCTCTTCAGCTCAAGGCTAGTGCTCTACCACTTGAGGCACAGTGCCACTTCTGGCTTTTTCTGTTTATGTGGTGCTAAGGAATCAAACCCAGGGCCTCATGCATGCAAGGCAAGCACTCTACCACTGAGCCACCTTCCCAGCCCATCATGTCACTTCTTGAGTAAGAAAAAAATCTGTCTTTTGTGGAGGACAGGCTTACAAATTTAACAAGTTTATATCATAGTTGGAAGAAACACTAAAGTTCTAGGCAGTAAATGGTTCAGTTTTGAAATATTCAATACAGGCCAAAATTTATATTTATTTTGGTGGGGCTGAAGTTTGAACTCAGAGGTAGTCAGGCAACCTACCATTTGCCATGTCCCCAATCCTTCCTATTTTAATTTTTTTCAGATAAGGTCTCAGATGTTGCCTAGCCTGGACCCCAAACCTGCTTATACCTCTGGTTTAGCTGGGGTTATGTGAAACACCATGCCCAATTTATTTTTATTTTTGGTTGAGATGCGGGGAGGGAGAATGTTTTGCTAACTTGCCCTGGCTGCCCTCAACCTACAGTCATTTTGATTTCTACCTCCACAATAAGTTGAGATCATAGGTCTGAGTTATCGGCATCAGCTACCAAAAAGTTGTTTTCTCTTCTTCTTCCTTTTTTTTTTTTTTTTGGTCAGTTCTAAGCCTTGAACTCAGGGCCTGGGCATTGTCCCTGAGCTTCTTTTGCTCAAGGCTAGCACTCTACCCCTTAAGCCACAGGGCCTCTTCCAGCTTTTTCTATATATGTGGTACTGAGGAATCAAATCCAGGGCTTCATGCATGTGAGGCCAGCACTCTACCACTAAGCCACATTCCCAGCCATTGTTTTTGTTTTTTAAACTGAGAGCATGCCCAGTAAGTAGTAAAAGACGCTGTAAAAACACAGGTGATAGATTGTCGGGTGCCGGTGACTCATGCATGTAATCCTAGCTACTAGGAGGCTGAGATCTTAGGATCCAGTTCAAAGCCAGCCCAGGCAGGCAAGTCCTTGAGACTTATCTCCAGTTAACCACCAGAAAACCAGAAGTGGTGTGTGGCTCAAGTGGTAGATCACTAGCCTTGAGCTGAAGAGCTCAGGGACAGTACCCAGGCCCAGAGTTCAAACCCTACCACTGACAAAAAAACAAAACAAAAACAAAACATCACAAGTGACAGATACTAATATCCTTGAGTGATAAAGAAACTGCCAGGGCCAGGCTACTCAGGAGGCTGAAGAGATCTCAAGATTGCAGTTTCTTAACTCCAATCAATCACCAGCCCCCCCGCCTCCAAAAAAGAAGGGGGAAAAAAAGCTGGAAGTGGAGCTATGCCTCAAGTGGTAAAGCACTAGCCCTAAGCAAAAAACTCAGGGACAATGCCCAGGCCCTAAGTTCAAGGCCAGGAGTGGCACCAAAAAAAGAAAAAAAAGGGAGGTGGGGGAGGGATGGGGAAGGTGTGTGTGTGGGGGTGGGGAATGGGAAGAGATGAAAAGGGGAAACAAAGGAGGAGGCAGCAATGTTTGGTAAGAATGCATTCATTACTTTGCCCATGTAATTGTAACCCCTCTGTATGGTGTTTTCACAATAAAAAAAGAAAAAAGAAGGAAAGGGAAAAGGAAAAAAGCCAGGCCTGGCATAAGTGGCTCACACCTATAAATCCTACCTACTCACAAGGCTGAGATATGAAGATCTCAGTTTATAGCCTGCCTAAACAGACAAATGTAAGAGACTCCTATCTCCAACTAACCAGCAAAAAGCCATAAATGGGGGCATAGTTCAAGTAGTAGACTGGAAGCATGAGCAGAACAAGATTAGGATATCCTGAGTTCAAGTCCTAGTGCTGGCACTCACAGTTATGCACACACACACACACACACACACACACACTCTCTCTCTCTCTCTCTCCCTCTCTCTCCCATACAGCTCTAGGGAAGTTGTAGTTATTCACAAAGCATCTGCAAAATCCACAAACATAAACACATGGACAATTGAACATTAGTGTGGACTAATGTATAAATCCCAATGGACTAGAACCCACTAAACCTCAGCTGTGGTCTGGACCTAGTTCTCTGAACCTGGGCAAATTACTTGCCTAAGTATGTAAAATGCAAATGGTGATAAACATCCATGCCAAGCTCACAACTGAGAAAAAAGTGTAATAAATTCATACATGCACACTTTTATTATACTCAGTATTAGATAATGTAGTTCATTCTACAGGAATTCACAACAAAAGGTCTGCAAGGGCTAGAGTATTTGGAGTAACTTAATTTACACAGTGATATGCTAAAAAACTGTTTAGAAGTATTGTTTTCATTTTATACCTGCAGAAAATAAATCTCCCCAAATTATTATATTTTAGTATTTCCTCCCATTCTATTAAAGTTCCTTCATGAAATAGAGGGGAAAATCCTTAGACTACTCTAAAATTTCTGCCATAAAATATTTTATACCAAAAAGACTACATGAAACATGAAAGTTGAGTACAACTGTCTCCAACTATTTCTCAAAAAAACTCAAATTCATTTTTTTCTATATCATAATGATCTTTTTTTTCCTCTGTGGATTCTCTTAAGATTTACTCCTAAAATCATTAATTAAAAAAAAACTATAACTAGTAATGCTTTTATCACACAAAATCACCTTGTTTTTATTTCTTTGGGTTTTTTTTTGCATTTGTTTTTTGAGACAGGGTCTTACAATGTGGCACCAGACTGGCCTTAAACTTGCTATGTAGCCTACGATGGTCTTTAATTTGTGATCTTCCTGTCTCTACCAGGCCTCCCTCCTTTGCTTAAAGTTTTCCTTCCTTCTATGGATTATATCTAATAGGCTGCAACCCCCATAACAACAATAAGTACTATGTGTGTGGAAGGCCTAAAGCACACTCTACTTTTCCAAGTGGTTTCACAAACAGTATTGAGATGAAACAAAGAACCTTGTAAAGGTATTGATTTGATTATTGTTCCCTAGACATTATGCTAAAATCAGCTTCTCCAAGGCCTTTGTTTTCAAACAATAGGCAAATTTATTCTCAAAGCAAATGTATTCTTTTGGAGACTAGTTCACCAATAGAACTTCTAAAAACTAATAATGGAACTTCATAAAAATAATCTAGCTTAAAGAACAATGGATACTACAGATGTCTGACAAACCTATTTCAGGTCCCTCTAATTTCCTTCAGAAAGAACAGAACTTTAGTGGTCTCTAAGTTCTGGATGGGAGCCCAAGAATGACAAATCAGACAGATACCTATCTCCTTATAAAAACAGTAATGGATTTTTTTTCCCTTTCTTCACATACTTCAGGAAATTACAAATTTAATCATTCTTTCCCTAAACCCAGGTTCAACTGTCATCTCAAAGTTTTCTCTAATCTCTTCAATTATGATGCCCCTCACCCCTTTTTTGGTGCTGGTACCAGAGCTTGAACTCAGGGCCTTGTACTATTATCTTGTCTTTCTTGCTCTACCACTTACATCACACTTCCAGTCCAGCAATTTGCTAGTTAATTGGAGGTGGAGTATCCCAGATTTTTCTGCCCAAGCTGGCTGAGTAGCTATGATTATAAGTGTAAACTACCAGCATCCAATTTCCTCTTCATTACCCACAAACAGAACAATCTCCTCTTCCTCTGCATTAAGTCATAAGTTAGCTACAACTCATATGACACATTACTTTTCAGCTTATGTTAACATTGTTTCTACATATAGCTAAATCTCTTGCTGAACTGCAACTACTTTTAAAATAGGGCTATATCTTACTCTTCTTTGCATCCTTTCAATAATGCCAAACTTGTCAAGTGCATATAGATGTTCAAATCCACCAAATGATCTTTAAATAATCTGGGCCAAAGCATACGTTTCTTTTTGTTGTTGTTGTGTTTGTTTGTTTTGTCTGTCATAGGGCTTGAACTCTGGCCCTGGGCACTGTCCCTCAGCTCTTCAGCTCAAGACAAGCGCTCTACCATTTTGAGCCACAGTGTCACTTCCGGTTTTTTGGTAGTTAACTGGAGATAAGTCTCAAGGACTTTCCTGCCCAGGCAGGCTTTGAACTTCAATCAGATCTCAGTCTCCTGAGTAGCTAGGATTAAAGGCTTGAGCCACCAGTGTCCGGCCAAAGCATACTTTTCAACAATATCTTGTCTATGATCAGTCATAATATTCTTTTTTTTTTTTGTCGGCCATGGGGCTTGAACTCTGGGCCTGGGTGCTGTCCCTCAGCTCTTCAGCTCAAGGCAAGCGCTCTACCACATGAGCTACAGCGCCACTTCCGGTTTTCTGGTGGTTTATTGGAGATAGGAGTCTCAAGGTCTCTCCTGCCCGGGCTGGCTTTGAACCGTGATCCTCAGATCTCAGCCTCCTGAGCTAGGATTACAGGCGTGAGCCACCAGCGCCCGGCAGTCATAATATTCTTAGACTCTGAAGATCGACAACCAAAATCTTTTAAAATTATGGACTGAGTATCTACTATACAGAGACACTAAAGCAGCTATAGGTAAAAGACTGCACAGACTCGAACCCAGCTTCTACCATTAATAATGTTTGGCATATTTCTTAACCTCTGTGCCTCAAACTAAAACCTGCAAAGCGGACAGCTTGTTTCAAAAATTTAACGAATTCACATAAGTTGCTTAACATGTACTTAATACATAAAAAGTGCTTAACATGATTTCTAATAAGCACTTGTCAAGTTACTAAAAATGTGTACATAATCCATTCACTCAATTCTTCCAACATTTTGATTTGTATTACTAAAATAACCTCTGAGGAAAATTGAGCACTGCAAAATCACTTGTGCAAAGCCATAAAACAAGTGGACTGCATTTACTATAAGCAAAGCCTAGCAAAGCTGGGGAGGGGCGGGGGAGGAGAGGATCCGAGGTGAGCAAAAGCAAGATATGGAGGGTGCAAAGGAAATGCCAGCCAAGCTGCCAAGCTTCTGTCCTCGGTCTCACAGTCCTAAGAATCTCACCGTGGGCCGCCCTCAGCCTAACCTCAGTACTAGCTACGACGAAGCATCACAGATTGAGAGATCTACACAGCCGAGAACGGGCTTCAATCCTTACCAATTCAATTTTCTTAAGCAGCTCTAATCTAGCAAAACAATACATTAAGCAATGGCCAGAGCGGGTCCTAAGTTTGTCTGCCATCCTCCTCAAAACTTGAAGATACCGGGTGCTTCCTCCCAGGGGCTCACCCACAAACTCTCCCTCCCGGCTCCTCCACACCCAGGCCCGGCGGGGCCTCTCCACCCAGGCCCGGCGGGGCCGCCCCTGCCTTCCTCTCACCGTCCTTCATTTGGACAATATTGCTGGCAGCCACCCGGTCGGAGGCGACAAGGACATAGTCGGGACCCTGGATGCCAATGAGGTACTCCATGGCGGCGGGAAGCCGGAAGCTGAAGGTTCCACGGAGAGGAGGACCCGTCGGCCTCTTGGCCTCACGAGTGAGACAGCACAGCACAGACCAGCTAAGCTCGGCGCGACACAGGCCGCGGGACTGCCCGGCCCCTGTCGCTCTCGGATGACGTCCAACTAACGCGAGAAGTTGGAAGGCGGTGTGGGTGGAGCTGGGGCCTTGGCGCCGGGCTGTGGGCGGGTCCCGGGCTGCCCCGTGTTGGCTCTGGAGGTTGCTCTCCTCGCGAAGGCCTGGTTTCCAGCTCTGCATTTAAAAAATTCGCTCTAAGTCCCTCTCCCCGCAAACCAGATTGGAGAAAAAAAGTAATTTGAGAGGAGCCCTACTTACATCCTTCACAAAAATATATATGACAAGGTGGAAGATCAAAACCAGCAAGACAGTGGAAGAAAATCGCTTTTTCCCCTTGTATTAGTATGGGGCTTGGACTCGACCTTGCGTTGCACTTACTGGGCTTTTTCACTCATGGCTGGCACTCTACCTCTTGAGCCTCTAATCTAGCTTTTTGCTGATTAATTGTGAAAGCAGTCTCATAAACTTTTCTGCAGGAGCTGGATCTAACTGTGATTCTCCAGGTCTCAGCCTTTTGAGTAATTAGGTTTACAGGTGTAAGCCAGCAGCACCCTGCAAGAAAAGTATTTTGACAGTAATTGGAAGAGATGTATTTCTGAGCATGACAACAAACCCAGAAGCAATACAGGAAAAGATAGATTTCAGATTTAACTACATAAAATCAGACATGTCTAATTTTAACATCTGAATTAGTACTGAAATGCGAATATGAACAATGTTTGTACACATGAAATAGTTAATGGCTAATTTAAAAGGCATTTCCTGTGCTACCAGGGAAGCTGAGGCAAAAAGATGGTTTGAGCACAGGAATTGGAGACTATAGTCTGGATGATAAGAGAGCCCCATCTCAAGGGAAAAATATCAAAGGTTGAGAAAAGCAATTCAAATAAGAGGCAACATGAATGGCCAAAATTATAACCTGGATAGTAATTAGGAAAATGAGAAATTATAAATAATGATTATAATTTTGAAGGAAAAGTATAAATTGTGTGCTTTTTTTTTTCTTTTTGAGACAGTCTGTAATGTACCACTTGTTGGCCTCAAACCCATGATTCTCAGCATCAGTGCTAGGAATATAGGCTGAGGCCAAGCCACCACATCAAGTTTAGATAACCTCCTTAGTAGGGACAATTTGATACCTTAAAATTTAGAAGCTGGTGCATGGCACCTGTAGCTCACGCCTGTAATCCTAGCTACTCAGGAGGCTGAGATCCGACGATCATGGTTCAAAGCTAGCCAGGGCAGGAAAGTCTGTGAGGCTCTTATCTCCAATAAACCACTAGAAAAATGAAAGTGGCGCAGTAGCTCAAGCAGTAGAGTGCTTGCCTTGAGCTGAAGAGCTCAGGTTCAGTGTCCAGACTCAGAGTTCAAGCCCCATGACTGACAAAAAAAAAAAAATTAGAAGCTGGGCACCATGGAAAAGATTATGGAGGTTTCTTTAAAATATTAAAAATAGAGCTAGACATTGGCAACACACATCTGTAATCCTAGCCCCTTAGAATCTGAGAATTGCAATTTGAAGCCGGCCAGGGAAGGGATGTCTGTGTGACTCTTATTTCCAATTAAATGCCAAAAAACTGGAAGTGAAGCTGTGCCTCAACAGTAAAGCACCAGCTTGGAGCAAAAAGCTAAAGGACAGCACCCAGACCTTGACTTTAAGAGTATTTCATCTTGTGCCGGGCGCTGGTGGCTCACGCCTGTAATCCTAGCTACTCAGGAGGCTGAGATCTGAGGATCACGGTTCAAAGCCAGCCTGGGCAGGAGAGACCATGAGACTCCCATCTCCAATAAACCACCAGAAGACCAGAAGTGGCGCTGTAGCTCAAGTGGTAGAGTGCTCACCTTGAGCTGAAGAG